TTATAAAGTTTTAGGAGTTTCTGAGGAAGATCCCTTTGATTTAATCAATGCTCATTATAAATTACTGAGTTTAAAATGGCACTCTGATAAAAATCGAGATGGTGGAAGAGAAGTGTTTGTGATGATCAAGGAGAGTTTTGAAAAAATAAAAAAAGAAGGTAAAGATTTAGAAACTAGAAGAAAATGAAAAATTCACCGACAAAGAAAAAATGATTATTGCCTTGATTGAAAGAAATTTGAGGAAGATAAAGAAAAAAAAGAAAGGGTGGCTTTCCCCAATAACCAAGAAAAGTGAGATGAAATCAAAGATGAACCAAACTCTCGACAATTTGCCCAAGAATTAGTTTCTATTCTTCAAGAAGAATTAGTTTTAAATAATCTAAGCGAGGAAGAACTAAAAGATTTTAATAGAACAATCTTTCAAGATATGGAGGTGGATTTTTTTGATGAAAATGGTTGTTTATTAAGTCTTGAAAAGTTAGTTGATATATTTTATCTTCCAGAAGAAAAGACAACTGTTATCCAATTTCTCCAAAACAGAATAACTGGTTTAAAAAAACAAAACAGTATTTTAGAATTAATTAGAAAAGAATTTGACATAACTCCTTCTGATAAAGAAGATTTAGAACTTAAAAGAATATGAGAAGAATTAGATAGAGTAAAAATAGAAATCGAAGAATATGAAAAAGAAAGGACTGCCTTAGAACAAGAAGTCGAAAGATTAGAGGAACTGAAAGAAGGATTAAAAAAAATAGTATATGAATTGGATTCTTCCGAATTATTCGGAAATAAGGAATTTGAAGAATATAACAGAATTTGCGATAGTTTAGATAAAATCGAAAAGGAGGAAAAAATAGCAAAAGTAACTGAAAAAATAGGAAAAGCGAGTTCGAAGCAAACAAAGTTAATTACAGAGGAAGGCAAAAGGCAAGAACATAATTTACAAACCGCTTTCCAAAATTCGCTTGTTAGTAAAGGCGAAGAAATAATAAACAAAAGACTTGAAGAGGTTGAAAAAGAGTTAAAATTAGCTACTGATGACTTTCCGAATTGAATTGAACAAGTTAGAAAACCGACCCTAAACAAAGGTTGGACTATTAGTCAAGCCAAAAATTATTTTGCTTTCTCCGAGAATGCCCGATTAGTAAAAGATAAAATAACTTTCCTTACTGAAGAAATCGAAACTCTTTTAAAACCCAAAAAAAAGACCAACGCAGGTGAAGAAATAGAAGAAGAACAATTATCTCCAGCCGAAATTGAATATAATCAGAGTGAACGCCGTATCGAAAAACATAACTTACC